GTACGATGTGATTAATTTTAAGTGATATTTAATAAATACGTACCCGATTTTCCCATTATTCTATATATCATCCAAAAGAAATTAACATGAGGAACACATATTAAACATTAATTAGTTCCTTTCAAAAATATAACAGTACCTAATTTGACGAAATATTTTTTCTTGTCACATAGCACTTGAAACATAGTAGGTTAACATCTCTAACTATAGAGTAATAAATACACATTTTAACAAGTAGCAAATAGAGAAAAAAAATTAACATAGATCTTTATTTGGATAATTAAGATCAAGACGTAAATCATATAATTCAGACTTTCCTAGCAAAAATCTTATACATTCATATAACACTGAAAAATAATCGTAAGTATAAAAAAAGTTATTTAGTACCGTGGCAGTATTCCAAAAATAATATCCCATGATTAATACCCAGGTATTATTCATCATCTTTATTAGCATAAGACCGGGGATATAACTACATTGATTTACTACTTTTAACATAATATTTCCCCAAATATAGTATACAGTATCTACGAGTACTATTCAATTTTAAAAAATGAAGTTCTTGAATAAGACCCAGATACTGTGTATAGTGGCCATATATATGAAGTGAATAAAATCAATCCACAAAACCTCTTTCATTTTTTACTGAATCAGCCCAAATCTGAAATTTAGAAGAAATAGTATAGAAGTATAAATACGAACTGGGAATAAATAATATTTATAAACTACTATCATTTTCAAACACTCTTTCGCTATTTCCAGGCTATTCGGTTCGTTCTTTTATATGATTATTTTTAAGCACTATTTATTATTAACAAATAATAACTTTGAAAAATCTGTCTTACATATTTTTAACAATTCTGAAATAGACTTTTTTTTTGGTGCCCCCAATATATAAAAAAATTGTTACATATATTTTTGACCAATCAGAATTGGTTAAATACAAATTAACTAATTGATTAAATTTGGCTGTTACATACTGTACAAGGTAACGATAATGATAAGATGAACTTCATCTTAATATAATATATATAGTAGGTAAAGGTTAAAAAAAAAAAGTTATTTGAAATTATATTTTCATTCTATAAACTCTCTTTTAAACCAAAAAGATAATAACGTTATCTTAGTTTTATTTATAGATAAAACAATATGAATGCAGAAATAAATTTAAACAAAATATGATAAGTTATATTATATATTCAAAAACTATTTATTATAGCCATTTCAGGAGTTTGTTCTCTTAAAATACTTAATAACACAATTATTTCGGGTGTCCATTCATCTTCAGGTGTCTGGTTTTCTTCGTCACTTGATATCTCAATTATTTCAGGTATTTTGTCCTCTTTGTCACTTGATATCTCAAATATTTCAGGCACCTGGTTCTCTCTACTATTATTTTCAGATATCCTTTCTCTATTTACAATAGAATTATTGATTATTTCAGGTACCTGGTCCTCTCTACTATTAGTTTCACTCTCTCTATTTTCAATAGAATCATTGGTTATTTCAGATCGCTTTTTTATAAGCTCTAATTCACCATTTCTATAAAATATATATTGATTATTTATTATGATATCAACCAGTTCGACTGCTATTTCTTTGTATTGGATATCACTTTCAAACAAAATTACTCCTACTTCAGTATTTTTTGTATTTTTTGCGAAGCCAGACACGGTTCCAAAGAACCATATAGTTGCCACAGACGGTGGCGTAGATTGAGTAGAAAACCATTGGGCCTTACTAGCAACATAGTTATGCTTAGCATTAGTGTATGTCTTATGTTCTTTGGTTTTTTTATATACAACCAAACTATCAAATGAAGCTTCAGATAACTCATCATTATTATTTAGAAAACTGTGTAAGAAGTATATTTTTCTTACAATTCCATCTTCTATACCGTAGGTTGAATTGAAAGTGCATTTAACTTTGGTTAAACGCTATTTAATATATTTATTGTGATATTGTTTATTTTTAGTACTTTGGAGAGATGTCAATTTTATAAAAGCTAAAAATCTAGCACCAGTCTCATTAATATCGACTGGAAAAGAAGTATGAATTTTGTCTCTAAAAATATAATGGTCCGGGTAATCTGTGGTAGGTTGAGAATTTTTTTTCTTAAAATAGGGATTGGATACTTTTTTTGCTTTTGAACGTCTAGGTGGCATTTTGGCAGAAAAAAAAGTGTAGATACATTAACACCAAGAAAAATAGATACTGTTATATATTTTTCTGAGTTAGTGCTATATTTTACAAAAATGTCTTATTTAATATACAAATAGTTAAATATTGTATGAAGAAGAATTCTTAATGAGTGTGTTTTAAGTTCTTATTACTCTAATTTAGAAGGCATTATTATGTTAATAATACTAATTTTATTTTTAATAATTTAGCTATCTTTTTTTGAATTAGCACCTCATTTCGGTTATTCGAATTCTTGTTGATATGAATAGGGAAGTATAAATATGGTTTGAAATACTAGTATTCTCGATTATTATTAAGCTAACAAGGTTAAAAATTTTTTTTAAATGCGACTAGCATGTTCAAAAGATTCTTATCGATATGAATAAGAGAAATATAGATACACTTTAAAAATTTTATTAATGTTTATTATTTAATAATGCTAGTATATAATACGAATTTGTTTTACTTTTCTTTTTTTGAATTAGCACCTCAGTTTGGTTATTTGAATTCTTGTTGATATGAATAGGGAAGTATAAATGTAGTTTAAAATACTGGTATTCTTGATTATTATTAAGCTAACAAGGTTAAAATTTTTTTTTAAACACAACTAGTATGTTCAAGAGATTCTTATCGATACGAATAAGAGAAATATAAATATGCTTTAAGAATTTTATTAATGTTTATTATTTAATAATGCTAGTATATAATACGAATTTGTCTTACTTTTCTTTTTTTGAATTAGCACCTCAGTTTGGTTATTCGAATTCTTGCTGATATGAATAGGGAAGTATAAATGTGGTTGAATTACTGGTATTCTCGATTATTATTAAGCTAACAATGTTAAAAATTTTTTTTAAACGCGACTAGCATGTTCAAGAGATTCTTGTCAATATGAATAAGAGAAATATAAATATGCTTTAAGAATTTTATTAATGTTTATTATTTAATAATGCTAGTATATAATATAAATTTGTCTTACTTTTCTTTTTTTGAATTAGCACCTTATTTCGGTTATTTGAATTCTTGTTGATATGAATAGGGAAGTATAAATGCGATTTGAAATACTGGTATTCTTGATTATTATTAAGCTAATAATGTTAAAATTTTTTTTTAAACGCGACTAGCACGTTTAAAAGATTCTTGTTAGTATGAATAAGGAAAGTATAGATACGCTTTAAGAATTTTATTAATGTGTATTATTTAATAATGCTAATATATAATACGAATTTGTCTTACTTTTCTTTTTTTGAATTAGCACCTCAGTTTGGTTATTCAAATTCTTGTTGATATAAATAGGGAAGTATAAATACGGTTGAATTACTGGTATTCTCGATTATCATTAAGCTAACAATATTAAAAATTTTTTTTAAACGCGACTAGCATGTTCAAGGGATTCTTGTCAATACAAATAAGGAAAATATAAATATGCTTTAAGAATTTTATTAATGTTTATTATTTAATAACACTAGTATATAATACGAATTTGTCTTACTTTTTTTTTTTGAATTAGCACCTCATTCAAATTCTTGTTGATATGAATAGAGAACATCAGCAAAAAAAAATATGCATAAACCTCCACAAGTTTTTACACAAGCGTAAATTTGCGAAAAACTTACGATTAGTTCGGAATATTATGTAGGGGTAATAATTACGTAAGTTTACGCTATAGTATATCAGTAAATTATATATACGTAATCTTACGTAAGTTATTGTTGTAATATTTCAAAAATCTTATGATATAATACGAATTATTTTAAAATAGATCAAATAAAAAAAATGCTCCTTTGGGGGTTGCAGGATCGAAGAAGTAATATTTTTGCATATTTTGTGATGTTTTTGTATTCTTTCGCAATATTTGGCAAATTTTTGCAAATTTTCAAAATTTTTAAAAATAAATAAATGATATACATATTCGTATAATTATGCTTTTTTACAGAGTTTCGCAATATTTCGCAAGGTTTTACAATATTTTGCAAGATTTTGCAATTTAATATAAAATTTTATTATTTATTTATTATTATATATTATATTTTACATTTATTAAATATACATTTTTAATTAATATTACATACTTTATTATATATTACATATTATTTTTACATTATTACAAATATTTTAAACTACTTTCACACTTTGTTATATCTAATCTATTACTATATACAAAAAACTAGCCCTATACACTGATTTTCGCTTACTCTATAGTTAGCTATTATCTTTGCTTCTTTGTTTTCTATCGTTTTTGAAAGTGTCGGCATATGCAAGGTTTTGAAAAGTTGTTGTTTTTCTCGCAAAGTGCCGAAATAAAATAAATTAATAAAAAAAATTAAAAAAAACCAAAAAACAAAACAAAAAACACGAAATAAAAAAAAATAAACTGAAACCTTGTAAGAACTTGCAAAAACTAGCAAAAACTTGCAAAAACTTGCGCCTATTTCTCTAAAAAAGCATTTTTGAAAATTTAAAAATTGCTGAGGGTGTGTTCTTGAAAGTGTTAGAAGTCGTAGTTGGCATTTAAAAAGTTTTGTTTTTCTCACAAAGTGTTGAAATAAAATAAATTAATAAAAAAATTTAAAAAATAAACCAAAAAAAAAAACAAAATAAAAAAAAATAAAGCAAAACCTTGTAAAAACATGCAAAAACTTGTGAAAACTTGTGCTCATTTTTAAAAATAAACCAAAAAAAAAAGCAAAAAACATAAAACAAAAAAAAAATAAAGCGATATCTTGCAAGAACTTGCACTTATTTTTAAAAATAAACTAAAAAAAAAAACAAAAAACACAAAACAAAAAAAAAATAAAGCGAAACCTTGCAAAAACTTGCAAAAACTTGTGTCTATTTTTAAAAATAAACTAAAAAAAAAAACAAAAAACACAAAACAAAAAAAAAATAAAGCAAAACCTTGCAAAAAC